TACTATCCAACTTCATCCCAGTATTTGTTAGTAATAAACATGTACGTATATGTGATCCTCAATATGAAAAGATACTAATACTGACTTGTTTTGAGAACTGAAAAGCACACAAATATGGGTACATCAATATACTTTTAAAAATAAATAAGTAATTATCAAATCCATTTTCATCACGTTAGTCTATTATTAGTATACATATATATGTAGCTATGGATGATCACACACACTATCTATCTACATTAAAAGGAAAAGAGAGAATATTATGTTCATTAGGTATGTCATTTAGTTCCTAACTGCAATCAACCAAAAAAAAAATCATTACTTTTGCTGACATTAATTTTATTGTTTGTTATGTCAGTCGTGTTATCTTTAATAAATACCATTAGGATAAAAGACATAAAAGGCTCTTAGTTTTAGTATAGCGCGAAAAAGGGTATGGAAATATGATCGTACGTGTCTTATAGTCATTCTTGCATAAAGCTTAAAAGGATAATTTTTACGAAAGAGAATAATACCAATACTCATAAATATTCAATTACTTACTTACGTACTCATTTGGCCATAACAACCCGTTACCGAGTTTCGGCCTGACGCAGCATGTCTCCCCAGGCGCCTTTGCTGTGTGTGCGCCTTCTCCAGTCTCGTACATCAAGTCCAGTTAATGGTTCCTCAACCTGATTACTCCACCTGAGATACGATCTACGTCTATGTCTTCTTCCGCCAACTATTGCTTCAAATACCTTTTTCGCTGGAGCATCTTTATCCATTCTCACGACATGACCAAGCTAGCGAAGCTGCTGGAAGTTAATTCGCTGAATTATATCAATGTCGTGATAAAGCTAGTATAGGTCGTGGTTCATTCGTATGCGGTAATCATCGCCAACTCGTAGAGAATCAAAGATCTTACAAAGAACAATTATTTAAGCATATTTATAAAAAATCAGTTTAAGTTACTAGTGTATCATTTTTTCCCTTTTATTCACACCACTTGGGAGCATAAGATTGTAATTCAATTATGATATCCTATTTTATTTAGAGATAATATTTACAATTGTGACCAGTTCAGTACTGTAAACTCAAACTCACCGACCTTCTCCATGTGTTACATGGTCTACCAGGTTTTCGTTTATCCGCTGGATTCCACTCTAGTCCGGCTTTTGATATATCAATGGGGTTTTTACACTAGTGTATCATAACGATTTATAAATATTTATATTTAATTTTAAGTATCTATTGGATTTAGCTATTCATTATATCTATGGGATTATTATAAATTGATAAAATCATAAAAAAAGAAAAAATTTCAAACTCCATCTTCTGAAATGGTATAGTTTTTTAGGTTGTGCTACTTAAACTTGTCTTAAAAATGAAGAAAGGAAATAAAAAACTCCCCAATGCGTTTTAAAATTTAGCAACGTATTCACTAATGATGATGAAGCATCATCATTTTTACGTTGCATGCAGGAAAATATCCTCCCAACACTAATGCATTTTAATTTTGCCGCGTCATTTCGGCTGCCGTTGCTACTCCCGCCTCTGGCACTTAAATGGTTTCAACGGTACCGCTGCTATAGAATTTCTGAATTTGTATGCTCAATATTTTCCACTCAAAAGTCATATCCGAAGGGCATAAAATCCTAGCAATACAATGGAAATGCACTTGTCCTGTTAACTGTGACTGTGTAGTAGTGTTAGTGTGGAGGAGCAGGAATGAAGCTGTAAATTTAGCATTTTCCATTGCTCCTCCAAAAAAAAAAAAAAATTAACTGCAAAAAAATAAAATAAAAAAGTGAATAATAATAATAAAATACGTAGTATTTTCGTGCATCGCACACAAAATTTACGCCAGTCAGTAAGTCTCCTTCATACGTCCTTCAGGATGTGCAAGGATCATGACTTTTTCTTTGGCTGCCACGTCTTTGCGCAAAAATATTTGTGCCTTTGAACAGTTGAACAGTTGTTTAGCGTTATGCGTCGCAGGAAAAATGCCTTCGAGGCTGCAAAAGTAAACTTTTATTTAAGAGTAAAAGAAGTAGAAGAAGTAGAAGAAGAAGAAAAAGTAGCAAAGGACGACGTTTGCATTTGCAGCGGCAAAACGTATAGAAGTAAATTTTAAATAATAAACATGTTTGGAAGCAAGCAAGTATCGCATGCGATTCCTGGTCCATGCGATGAAAATAATATCTGTAAAATAGTAAAAACGAAGCGAAAAAAAATGGATTTCTTTCCGAAAACAAACAGCAACATAAAATTGAAAATATATGCAAGTCTGCGCTTATTTTATGCAAGAAATAATAAAATTTCCAAAAAATCGCACTGCAAGACAGTAAAAACGGCAAACTACTGAATACTGAGTACTGTGTACCGAGTATCAACAAACGTCAGCCAATGGGCCGCGCACAGCTATGCAGCGCATCGACTAATGAATTAGAAATGCATAAATTGCAAAACTGAAAATAAAAAGTCAAGAATCGTACTAAAAAGTTTAAAGAAAATAATTTTTAAGTACTTAAAATATCTATCTTCATAACGGCAAAGCTGAAATTGAAAAATTGAAAAACTGAAAAATTGAAAAACTGAAAAATTACGAAATTCCAAATATTCGAGAATCAATGAAGGATGCAAATGGCAAAATGCTACCGGCGAACTGTGATAATTTGCGTAACTGTCTGCTGCTGCAAGCATTACACGCTTATTACAGATAATTACAAATTATAGTAGTGAAGTCAAATTAAACTCAAATAAAAATTAAATATTTTTGTATTAAGACTAAAACGGTAACCGTAATGAGTTTTAGTTTTTAATATTGTCACACGAAGAGCAGCTTAACAGCGTACCAGCTTAACAGCGTAACAACTGAGCATCTGAGCATCAGAACAGCTAAACGGATAAACGGCTAAACGGTTTAGTCATTGCTTTAGGCAGGCCACACTGGCTGATAATGCAGATAATGCACAATCTCACGGCACTTTACGCTAAAGTGCTAAAGACCTATACGAAATCGGCAAATTGCATTCTATTTGAAAAATTTTAACAATTCAAGGTTTTAAAAGTAAATTAGTGTGACTCCTAATTTACATTCAAGCATTTTACTGTCTTATGTACGTT